AGCCTTCAAACCATGCGTTCATAATGGTTGGAGACTGCTTGAATGGGTAATGAAGAAAAACTTTAATATAAGTTTAACATAACAGCAAATGTACAACGTTTCGACAAGTCCTTATGACCTGATGATGACAAAACCTTGTCGAAACGTTGTACATTTGCTGTTATGTTAAACTTATATTAAAGTTTTTCTTCATTACCCATTCAAGCAGTCTCCAACCATTATGAACACATGGTTTGAAGGCTGTAGAACATGTGCTTAAGGTAACATATATAAAAAAAAACGGAAAAAAACCCTAAAAATAATTAGTTGGGTAAAGTTACAGGGAATAAAAAAAACACACAAAAAAATAGTAAATTACAGTAAAAACATTAAACAAAATAACTAAGTAAAAACTAAAAAAAAGACGATTATATGTTAGACATACAAATAATAATAAAATGTAGACTATGAGAGAATGAATGTGTGCATCAAATAGTATTATCTAGCGATTGACAACAATGAGATGTGTGGGAATTGAAAATAAAATCCTGAAAAAAAAAACAGTATATTCGACAAGTGACTTATTAAACAAATTTAGTTAAGAAAAAAGGTTTGATATCACAAACAAACTTAAATACTTGAGCTATTTCAATCTGGCAAGTGTCTCATCTTGTTTATTTTCGTTTACATTTTGTAATTTCCTCACTTCTCTTATTAGCAGAACCTTGAAAAATAGCTGACTTCAACGGTTGAAAATATTCATAGTTAACAGTTTTCTTTGAATATAATTAAAATGTGTATATGAGTTTATGAGGATTACATTTATTATTACATTTATGTACCCTTAAATGCTATTTTCAGGAAATTTTTTGAACGGACTTGTAATTATGTTATTTTACCATTTAGCAAACAGTATTTATTTACTCTTTGTATGGTGATGGTACAATAATTTATATTCGTTGATTCGCTATTGAAAACTTCACAGTATCATTGCTAGAGGGCCATGGAAGGTAAACCTTTGACCTCTTTTTTTTTAGCACATTCAGATTTATATATATGTGTCTAATTAGATCAAGTATACCTTTAAAACCATTTGTAATAACCTAAGAAACATATGAAAATAATTCCTCAGTTTTACCTGAAGATTCAAATTATAAAAATAATCTGACCTAATTTGCATATCTTACGGTGTCACACTTCCAGTATGGCCACCATACAGCAATGGGTGTGCCTGTTACAAACCAAATGAAAATGGCTTTAAGAATATCAATTGATTCAGTAGGCTTCCAAGGGTGAGTAAATGTTGATTATTATTTAATGTCTTAATGTAGCTATAATATGGGTTTCACTGAACGATACATGTTGTTTTATTTTTACAATGTAGTGTCCACTAAACAAACTAACAGACCAGCTCAGGGTAGAGTTGTCACAGTCTGGGTTTACCGAAGCCTTAACTTTCACCTTGGTAGGTCAAGTCAGTTAATTCTTTTTACATCACAGAAAGTCAAAGATCTTTTAACAATAAGTTTTGACTTAGAAAAATTAAAATATTTAAAGATAATTTTGTTGTTGTTGTAATCTTCTTAAATGGACATACTTTGGACTTGTACAGTGGCTCCTTATTGTCTCCAACAAATGTTCGTCATAGTATTTCTACTGTTGTAATGAAATGTTGAAGGAAAGTTTGAGTTGTACTGTAGATGTTAATTTAAATGCATCACTTAGGTGAAAGATTGATGGTGTATCCTTTCCGTTGTGTGTGTGTGTGTGTGTGTCTGTGTGTATGACATTTCAAGACATAGATTTTTTGCTGTATTCGTAATATTATCAATTTGATAATTTGTGGAAAATAGCTTTTTTTATACAATTAATTCTAGAGGGTATAGTCATTTTGTTTTTTATACATCTTGTGACTCAACCTTCATCTGTTCGTCTGTTCCATACTCGTGTGTTAATCTTACTTGATTAGTGGACCATCAACTACGTTATAATTGTGCTCAGATGTGGTAAGTGTGTGTTTCTAACAACCGGTGACATCTAAATATCCATAAAGCTTATTGGATCATGTGCGAGAAAGGTATAGACTGTTGTGGTGAAATATGCATTAATAAGATGGATACGAGTCTCAAGCAGATGATGAATTCAAAACATTGGCATTAGCAAAAGCAATAAGTGATAAAAAAGCTATTGGAAAATCGGCATTGCTTAACATAAATTTATACGGAATATTGTATTAAAGTTACTTGAGATGTATTTTCTTATGAGGAAAATATTCTGCAACAGAAGAGAATATAGTAAATCTCCCATTTACACTGATATGATATGAAGTTGTTAAAAAATTAGGGAACAATATTCGAAATAAGTTGTTTAAATCTTGTTTAATGTTGTTTTTGGCAGCACATTCTGAAAACGAAAAATTCAAACCGCATGCCTAGGCCTATGCTGCCTCATGACAACAAGTAAGTGCACCACACAGCTAGTTTTTCCATTCCTGGAAGTCGGATCAAAGCCAGCTTGCCCACACTTCCTTCGATCTCAGTCGAACATTGTCTGTCCTATTGGCCAGTATCGAGTGATATTCCTTGTGATTGTTTTTGTGACAAACTTTCCAAAAAGCCTTATACATGAGTGTTCTGTATTTATTTTTTTATGTCTTTATCTTGGGTTAGATTAAGTTTGAGTGTCCTAAAATTAGTCTTCAGAAATGCATCCTGGGAAAATAGCAGCCGATTTACGTCGATCCTTCTAGCATTTTATTTTCTAGGAACACAACCCCGATGTAAATGGGAGAGTTACTGTATCTGCATGGACTGTACAAGAAAAGTACTGAAGAACATGGCCGATACATAAAAATGTGAAAGTGTTCTTAAGGTGAGTGTGGCGGCTGAAGAACATGGCTGATACAGAAAAATATGAAGAATTTATTGGGGGTGACCCCGATGTAAATAGAAGAGTTACTGTATCTGCAGGGATTGTTCAAGAAAAGTACTGAAGAACATGGCCGATACATAAAAATGTTAAAGAGTTGTTAAGGTGAGTGTGGCGGCTGAAGAACATGGCTGATACAGAAAAATATGAAGAATTTATTGGGGGTGAGCGTGGTGACCTGCTAAGGTCCACTAACTTCGTTGATGATATTTCCCAGAAGATGATCCTTATGATTAGGAGCGTGGATAGATGTGATAATCTTTCAATACAATAGGCTATGGGCAAAAACTGTCATAATGATGCTGCTTCTTTCATTACTTCAGTTATAAGATCATATCATGTATATGGATATTTCTCAACACCTGGTTACGTCAGTTGTAGGATCATATCATGTACTTGTTTGTAGCATCGTGTATATGGATACTTCTAAGCTGAGTAATTCAGCTGCATGATCATATCAGTTCTAATGATGGTATAGCCAGTTTCACAGAGAGTTCAGGAACCATTGTCGATTCTCAGAAAATAAAGTCACATGGTGAGTTGTCATGTGATTACATCAACCAATGAAATGCTGGAGTAAGATAGAGATGAACAATGGCCAGCACTGCACATGCTGAACCAAGTAATTCAAATTCTTTTTGTGAAATAAAGGAGACTTATTCATCGGGACAGTCACCAAAAACAATCTGCAAATTTAATATATCTACAACTTTCTCCAAACATATGCTGACTTCAGGTCGATCTGGGAAATTTCTTATGAACTGCTTACCAGTTGTCAGGCTGGAATCTAGGTCAAACTTAAAACTTTTCTTTACCAATGTTTATAGAGAGTAATTTACGTTAAATTTTGTACTTCATCCTGGGATGCGAAATGAGACACATTTTCATTCTGGCTTTCTGTAATAATGCAACATTAAATATTATTTCTTAAAATTATATTGATATTTTTCAATGAAAGTAAATTTTACAATCAAACACATGATTAAACGTAGTTCTATATTTATACAAGAATTATAATTTTAACATTACAGATAATTAGATATGCTAAAACTACCTTTGATTTATAATCCCCCCTTAATGTAAATAGTCATAATAGGCCTACACAAATAATAACTTTTGTGAAATATGTCCCCAAATGAGTTACAAAGTGTACCAGATTTTCTGTTACAATTTTTCTCTCATAATTTGTAAAGAGAAAAACAAAACTTGAAGATTCACTTCTTTAAAATTTTCAAGATACAAACAACAGTTAGATGTCATACCTGGTACATAACTAGTTGGGTACAAAAGATATAAAGATGTAAGTAATTTTTTCGTGGAAACAATGTATAAATTTGCATATTTTGTTTCAAAAATATTATACGCAATGTACCTGGAATGTTTACGGTAGGAAGTAACTTTGTATTTTGATGTCTTGAGTCTTCGAAAAGTGCGGAACAAATATGCCATGAACGACACTGTTTCATTGTCACTTTAAAGATCTCTTCTTGTGTCCTTCCAGCACGCAACAGCCAGATTTTATACAAAGTGACATCATTTATGGGCAGAAGATAAAACTGAACATTTGTCCAAATGTATGATTTATTTTTGCAACCTTTCACTAAGCCAGACTGAGGCATTTTTTGTCAGTTAATCTAACCGTGTGCACATTTCTGCCATTAACCACTGTTAACTACACGTGTGATCTGTTTACATAAAATTATACATGTTACTCCAGCATTTGATTGGTCAAGCTATCTTATGGTCGACAGTTGCTCGTCGCATTATGCAGCAATCTGGCAATTTCCAGTATGAAATTGGCTGTTATGCAGTTAAATATCTAAACAGTTCATTACTTCAGCTGTATGACTATCAGTTCTGTTATTGGTTTGTTTATCTTCAAAATACTTGGTCACTTGAGCTGCATCTGACAGACCCAGCCCACTTGACAGACAATTGTACACAGCCCACTTTGATGAACAAAGCGCAGAGGAGTAAAGAATTTACATAAAGAGGAAGAGGAAACCTGCCATTTAAGATAAAAATTGATAACCCTAAAAAAAATATTTCTTTGATATTATTGTTGTTACTTAAATTCACGTACCCTTTAAACTCGATTTCCTTAAGTTTATCATCAAATTTCTGCAGCTCTTCCCTTTCATTCATGATTTTCCTCAGAGTTAAATGGTTTGTGAATTTAAGTAATAACAAGAGCAATCAGAGAGATTGTATACCCTTGCCCCACTGCTCCTTTTGAGAACTCAGAAAAATCCTTCTCAGATCCAGAATGATCAACAATCTATATCATTTTTTGTAGTGTGATGAGGAGTGAAATTTGGTACAAATCTAATCACACTTTACGGAGTTATCAACTGAAAACTGCAAAAATGCCCTGTCTTCCCCATTATAAAAAATGCTTCAAAGTGATCCAGCTTTTGATATGGACTAAAGAGGATGTCCCATACTGACTTCCCATCTTGTGTAAAATTTTCATTTACATTGGTCTATTAGTTTTCGAGATACGCATGGGAAACACGGACAGACAGATGCACGCGGACCCGATTGCAACACCGTTGCAATAAGACTAAAGAAGTATTTTGTGGGGATATCAATTTTACCATATTTTCTGGGATTTTTGTAAAATTATGTACACAATAAAGGTTCTTAAAATGAACATTGTAGTCCTTAAAATGCTCTTTGGTTTTGAGAAAATGTTTGAACCATGCATTATCTTGGAATAAAAAATTGTTGAAATAATTGTAAGAGAAAGAAAATGTGTGTTGTGTTTCATTCAGAAAATCTTGTCCTAGTAAAGTCATTGGGCCAAAACTTTAACCTTTTTCTGATCCTGGTAAAAGTGATTTGGCAAAAGCATTCACCACTATTTAACAGTTATAATTGGTTCTTTAGTGTTCCAAAGAAGATATTTCGGACAAGTTGAGAAGAACAAATGGAACATCAGAAGCTGTTCACATTGCTAACCCTAAAACCATAGAATTTCAGGTAAGTGCTTTTATTTTTCCACGTGAGATATAGAACTGTGTAATCTTATTTATTAAATACTTTGTATATGTTGGGTGTTACTCGTGCTTAGTACTTTTTGTGATAAAGAATTAAAAATGTTTGCTCATTATCGTATATAGTGTTAACTTATAGAATACTCGAGTAAGGAAGTATATAATGATAATATAATAATAAGTAGACAAACAATGATTTATAAGCATAAGGAAAAGTTTTATCGATAGTGGAACATACTACATAGAGTGTTAGTATATACATAATTAAAAATATTGGATTGTTATCATATATAGGGTGTTAGTTAGAATCTTAAGAAGATCTGTTATTTTTTGTAACCCCAACAGGACGTATTATTACTTACTCTGTTTTTCCACAGGGTTCTGATCAAGAGATCAGATGTGGGTCTGGAATATGACAAAAAACTTTAATTAGAGTCTAAGTGAAAAAGCTGATAAGTAAAGAGAAACTTGGGCTTGAACCCAGGACCTTTGGCTAACGGCCAGTACTTTATACAACTGGACCGTCTAATAGTACAAACTGTCCCTGTCTTTCGTCACTCATGAGGCTTTTTAACTATAAGTATGAAACTTCATATTACTCTGTATTCTTGTGGTCAGGCAATTAATTGGTTCATTTACCACCACCCATCCAAATGAAAGGAGTCTAACTCGACTCACGTGTATATATTATTATTATTATATGAATTTCCTATTATGAATCATTGAAAAACGTTTAAAATTTTTTCCTCAAGAAGAATCACTTGCCTGTAATATTAGTAATATTTTGCTCACTTCTCATGATTTAAACCTTTCATTTTAATATGTTTGATCTACGATCCTTGCAATTGCCTTGTTGCATATTACAAGTAAGAAAGTATTCTTTGAATTACTTTTATGTTATGACACCATTCTTGTGTCCATAAAACTACAGGTTGCTCGAACAACTCTTATGTCAGGACTTTTGAAGACTCTTCAGGCAAACAAGAAAATGCCTCTGCCGTTGAAGTTGTTTGAAATATCTGATGTGGTTTTAAAAGACAACACCAGAGGTAAACTACTTGGTATTGAATCTAAAATGTTGTATATTCTATTGTTTCTTTATTGTTATTTTTATTACCATTATTGGTTAACATGATTCATATATTTAGTTGTATAACTATTATTATACTTTTATTCTAGAGATTGTTTTGTATTGTTAGCTAAATATATATGGATTAGGAGTGACCTAGTCTCTTAAGCTAGTCAAACCTCGTAAGTTATTTGATTTATGGCTGATAATATCATTAACAGTGAGGGTACCGAACTGATGCTACAGTTCATTCTAATTTTTATAAATAAGAATATAGGAAAAATATAATTAATGGAAGTTTTTGTCTTGAGTTTTCTAAATTTTGTTGTAATCATTTAGATTGATACTTTAAATGCATTTCTTATTCACAGCTTACTCCAACACAAAACAATTTAGAATGTTAATAGTTTATTTTTAAACAGAATTTGTACCATGGGTTGTGAAAATGTAGACTGGGTACCTGTATCTGCTTCCGATTGTAAATTTTATTATTTACAATCTATTTGAAGCTTATGGGTAAACGTTAAACCTAATAGATGGTTTTTATTTCCATTTGTATGATGCAGGGTTGGATTAAGGTTTAGTGGAGGTCCTAGACCCAGGTAATATTTGGGAATAATAATAAAATTAAGAATGATGATAATAATGACATATTTTTGCCTCTTTTCTGCTAGTTTTATGAACCATAATTTTTCTTACATGGGTGGCCAGCAGGGAGGGCCCTTGGCCCAGGCCTCAATGTCCTATGCATTAATCTCGTATTGCTTGTATGCTTGTAAGACCTACATACATCCTAAAGTGCTTATACTTTAATTTGCTTATGAATTAGGTGTATATATATAGAAAAGTACCTTGAATACACGTTATATTACTGAAGTTTCTGTGCATTCATTTTCAGATGTAGGTGCTCGCAATGAGCGTCGGCTGTGTGCTGTTAATTACAACAAATCCCCAGGGTTTGAGATTATTCATGGTTTGTTGGACAGGATCATGCAGCTTCTAGAAATCTCTTATGGCAAGGAAAAAGAAGGCTATTTCATTCGAACTGCTGAAGGTAGGTAGCCCCCCCCCCTAAAAAAACAAAAAACAACAACATATGGGATATAGAAGAGAGTTACGATAGTTAAAGTAGCCATGAGTGGAATAACCTTTTAACAGGTTTTCTGCCCCTTTTTTCCTTGATATTCTAATCTTCTGATCAGCTTTGACTGTAACACTACACACGTGTATCAAGTGTAAAACTTTTTTATTTCGTAGACACATTTACTGTCCTCCCTATTTTATGTGTGTGAAACATTCTCTGTCGTTATTACTTCATCATCTTTATGCATTGGAACTTAAAAAGTTTGCCTGTTTTTTCCGGTAGATCCTGCATTCTTCCCAGGACGCTGTGCTGACGTTGTCGTAAGAGGGAAAGCCATCGGAAAACTTGGAGTTCTTCATCCAGAGGTGGTGACGGCATTCGATCTTAGTCTTCCCTGTGCAGTATTGGAAATAAACATTCAACCATTTTTATAGGTTGATGTAAGGCTCTGTATCTCGTTCTACACAGAGTTGTAAACGAGACACGAGAAATAAAATATTGTTTGGATGACAGAAGTCTGTCCATTTGATCATCAGGTTCATTCACAGAATAAACACAATTTGTTATATATATATTCTAAACGAGAGAGTAAATATTTCGACTATGTTTTAATGTCTTCAGAGAACTACTTTACCAGTCATAATAAATCATATTGACACAAAGATCATAATAATAAATTCTGTAAGGTTTTTAGCAAGGATTTTTCATTCTGCATTTGTATTTAAAACTTCTTTTTTTTTTAATCTACAACTACTTGTTAATCAGCCTTTTGCTTGTGCTGAGTGTTACTAACAACACTGACAGTTCCAATATCAATAAAAGAATATTAAAGTCATAACTTAATGAATACCCCAAGCAATACCGTAAGCAGTTATAACTGTTCTATGTAACTAACTCACTGATTTGACATACCTGGTACGGTCTGGCTCTGACAGTTAAATGCTAGTGTGCCATGTATAGTGTATGGCTGGTCCACTTAATATTTAAAGCCACAGTCAGTGGGTTAAATCTAACTACGTTGTCAAACAATGAAAGTTCACTAACATCCACTTATTTGGATTCATGTTGAATGGTGTGGTGTACTCAAAATAGCCTTAATTATAATAATATTTAACACTGTTAACATATACAAACAATATCATGCAGTGTTCAGTTAATGAAGTAAGGAGTTTTTGATATAGTTTCTACGGTATTAATAGGAAACAATAAACCTAAAAAGATGCATTCAATAACTATTTATTTCAATTCCTCTCATTAAATACTGGAATTCAGGACATATAAAAGGACTTCCAGCTTAAACATCATCCACGTGCAGCCGAGTTCCTTCTTTGGGACAAACTGGGCCAATTTCATACAGAAGATCGAAGGAGCAGCAAGATGTTGTTCCCAAAGTGGCCATAACCTGAATTAGAAAAACAAACTGTATATATATATTAAAAGTATACAAATTAAATATTTAACATACTGTATGGAAATCTACGAACTAACTTCCACTTTGAGAAAAACGACAGTGGAAAAGGGGGGTCCAAATCTTATAAACACGGGCTTAGTGGTTAGGTATGGGTCTTACAGATTGGTAGATCCAAGTTTAGAGCTACGCTGGACTGATAAATAACTCCGCAGTATCAGCTATGGAACATTATATCTGTGATAGTTAAACCTGTTATACGATTTTAAGTTGCTGCACAAAATGTGACTGGTGTTGTTCTCTCTAACTAAGTTAACTTGAACTGTAGGCGTCTCGAACCTGGCTGTTTAGTTCTGGTATCACATACAGTACCATTGACATGGTAAATTTCAAATACCAAAAATCATTCATAGAACCTGAACTTAACCAGATCAGGTCAGATTGATTAACGTTGTGCATCTAGCTGTTTTATTTAATCAGCATGACACTCGTAACATCCTAAAGAAACGTGAGAAACCTTCTTTATGAAGTTTTGCAAGTTTCATAGCATGCTCTCTCTGTGCAATAGGTTTACTGATGAAGTTTTGTAAGTTTCCTAGCAATCTCTCTCTCTCTGTGCAATAGAAGAGAGCATGCTATGAAACTTACAAAACTTCATCAGTAAAGTACACACTTCATCAGTAAACCTATTAGAGAGAATGCTATGAAACTTACAAAACTTCATCAGTAAACCTATTGCACAGAGAGAGAATGCTATGAAACTTACAAAACCCTATTGCACAGAGAGAGCATGCTATGAAACTTACAAAACTTCATCAGTAAACTGTGCAATAGGTTTACTGATGAAGTTTTGCAAGTTTCATAGCATTCTCTCTGTGTGCAATAGGTTTACTGATGAAGTTTTGCAAGTTTCATAGCATTCTCTCTGTGTGCAATAGGTTTACTGATGAAGTTTTGTAAGTTTCATAGCATTCTCTCTCTGATTAATAAATGTGCGAATCCGGCTACTCTTTATGAAAAGCAAAACGAGTCAAACAAGGGAATTATATACTCGCACAATTTAATTCTGTAATGCCGAAGCCAGTCGTTAAAGTGAGGATAAGCTGGGGGAACATCATCCAGCTAAGAAAATAGCAAAGAAAAGATCCCTAGCTATGTGGAACAACTGACCAAAGGGGAGCTGAAACGAAATTAGGTTAATTAAAAATTCTTGGAGTAATTAGAACGACAGAGAAGCGTAATAATTTTACGTAAAAACTGGTTTTCAATGAGCGAGATTGAAATTGCGGCTAATTATCAGTTATTAGGTGGGCGTGGAAAAACTTTTAACTTGTCAATCAAAGTTGTCCAATCGTAATAGGACTAGTCGTCGTCCAAACTGTACTTTATCTGCTGAATGTGTTAATTGATATATATATTACAAATCTGTCTAATTGCCACATGTAACGTTTTGACGTTTTAAAATCAATTTCATAATATTTGGATGTAATATTTACACAAAAAGTTTATTTTTCGGCCACTTTTTTATGACTCTCGGACAGATTTTTTCGATCTTAAGGACGTTACAAAGTCAACCTTGTGAACATGTAGAGAAAAATTAATGGTTTTATAAGTAATATTTTCTGATACGGTTTCCTATAGAATGCCCCCCCCCCCCTCCAGTGGCGAAGCGGTATATCCGCAGACTTACAACGCTAGAATCCGGGTTTCGATACCCGTGGTGGGCAGAGCTTAATTACAAACAAACAAACAATTTCTATAGAATAGTCTTCCAACTATG